GTGAGTGAGTGAGTGAGTGAGTGAGTGAGTGAGTGAGTGAGTGAGTGGATGAGTGCGTGGGTGGGTGGGTTCCTTAAATACAAAGCCCTCGTGAAGTTTTTGAACCAACTAATTGGCGATCAGTGATACAGTAATGGGTGTGTTCTAAAAACTCAGACTTCCGGATATGTGGCCGTACCTTCGTTTCGGCCGGGTTTAGAAGCGTGGTATGTCATACCTTCTGAGGAGGTGTTTGCAGCGGAACGGCAGGAGGAGCCGGTGGAGAGTGAGGGCCTCCAGATGGTGTGCCGCAAGCTGCCGGTCCTGGAGCGACATTCCTCCACGCAGTTCGTTCAAGCGGTGCCCAGTTCGTTGAGATCGGATCCGGGATCATGAAAAGGGGGGTAAGATGTATAATATATACATGTATATCGTCGAAGGATAGACACAGGCTCATCATCGAAGGATAGACAAAGAGCTCATCATCAAAGGATAGACAAAGAACTTATATACATTCGATCTAATGAACTCTCAATACATAAGAAGATATAAGAGTGTGGACCACCGTGTGTCAGCTAGGGAGCAATGTGCCGGCAGGGGCGGCCTCGCCCTGTCGCGGGATCATTTCTTTTTCTCTCAATCCCTGTTTCCGGCGTTCCAAACAAGAACAAGACCAACACGAGTTCCACCATTCCGCGCGGGTAGCTCTCCGGTCAAGGTAAATACCGCGATCAACAGGCACCGCACCGGGCTGGATCTGGGTGATTCAAAGGAGAGGAACTCAATGTGGAGGAAGTTGAAGTTGGATTCCCTTGTATTCTTCGGTTTGATCCGGTTTGTTGGATTTTGAGAACTTTGGGGGGCATTCGGGTCGGGACCAGAGGGACAGATTGGGATTTGGTTTGTTTGTTGTGTTTCCATTCAGGGGCTACTTATGTCTTTCTTCAGGGACGATGTCAGATTTTGCCAGGCCCACGTGATCGATTCTCAGTTGTCAACGTGGCATCAGCTGATGCTATCCGATGCTTATATTTGTGCAATAGTACGATTCGATTCTTTGTAACTACGCCACACATCTCCACAATTGCATTCAAACCCGAGCTGGTTAGAGTTTATTGGTGCACAGGTAACGTTGCGCTCTCTCTCTCTCTCTCTCCCCTCTCCCCCTCCACAGGAGACAACATCATCCACGTCGATTTGTCCCCTCCAGCGGTCCAGCGTGATTCGACAGACCCGTGATTTGAGATGGATGTTCATCCAGCACTAGGCATGCCTCGGTTTTCTGTATGGACAACACATGAGATGGAATGACTGTTGAATGGAATTATGTGCGTTTCGAGTTGCCATCCTATTGAATTTCATGTGGTTTCATCGAGAAGATGCGCAATTGTCCTTGATTTCTTTGGCACCCAAACAACAAGTTTCGTTGATCAGGTGGAGTACCAACTTTGTTTCCTTTGCGTCAACCAAACCCCCACAACGCAGAAGGTTCCTTCCCCTCAAAGGATAGTCGGTAACACACTTGTAGTACTTAGGAAGTGCTTAGCACTTAATCTAGACTGTTGATTCAATTTGATTCATACATCCGCCAGGTAAAACCTCTGCAACAAAAATTGGATGGTACTTCATGTTTAAATTTACAATCAACCGCCTACCGCCGCTGACGTGGACCAGTGACCTTCGTTCGCGAACAGGATGGGCTCCAAGTTCGGCCTTTGCGACCTTGTGGACGAGGAGGAGGAGCCTGATGATGTGGGACCACAGAAGCTTGGAAGACTGGAGATTCTGCGTGCCGCGTGTGACGTGAGCTGAGCGCCGACGTGACGTCCTGTGAGAGAGATCCGTGGTTTTTCATGGATCCGGCCCAGGTCTGACCTGGCGCCGAACAGATCGTTTGAGTCTAGAGTGCGCCGTGATGGTTTGAGGACCTGTTTTTGGTAAACAGGTGGTTTAACATGTGTTTATTTCACATTGAACTCATGGTTTTCGTGGATGATGTCGCAGACCTCGAGAAGTGTCGTCCGATGTCGTCCGGTGTTGGCCTCTGGTCTCGTCCACCTGGCCGGACCGATCCAGGACCCGCCGGTCGGTGTGCTCGTGGTGTCTGGGGTCGTTTTCAGGCCTCAAGACGGTGAAGACATGGTGAAGACCGAAGTGTTTTTGGTCTCCAAAGAGGAGACCAAGCACTTCACAAAGTTGCTGTCGGACAAGACCGAAGAATCAACCACATGGGACACTCAAAAGTCACGACAATGGACCACTCCGTTGTTCTCCGTTGGACCACTCGGGACCACTGAATGCCCATGCTCTTTGAACGTCATGGTTTCCATGTGAGTCGTGCTTTCGGGTTCACCGGCCCTTTCGGGTTCACCAAGGAAGGTGGTTCACCGTGAGACCTCCAGCGCTCGCCTCCGGAGGACGTGGTTGTCGGGCGGTAGCGGTGGGGTGGAAGTGAAGTCGGACGTGAGCGCAACGAGATCCATTTGGAGTGGATTTTTAGAAGCCTTTTTGGGGACATTCCATTTCTTAGCCGGGGATATCTTCATGAATGTTGACCTCCTTTCTTCCTCCTTTTTTTTTTGAAGAAAGGATTCTCAGGGGGGACCCACAGACACCACATAGACACCACAGACGGACCATGGAAGCCTGCCAGGCCTAAGAAGCCTAAGGCAAGCTTGCCATTCTCCAGAATGGGTGAAATCTATTCCGAACAGAACACCTATAAGTAAAAGTGGTGAACATGTGGGGCCCGATCTTTCTGAGCCAGTGGTGCTCTGATCTTCACATCTTCCGCTGCGAATCTCTTTCGCACCAGGCGAGTAGCCACCACACCCTCGCAGCTGAATCACTTGGCGCAAAATCCAAACCCCAAGAGGCAGAATCGCGCGACATCCGCGGATCATGCACCGGCGCGGGCGAAGCGGGCGGTTTGGCATGGGTGTGGTTAAAGGCTTAGGCGGAGCTATGCAGAGCTGCATGGTGAAGCAGTCTCCATGTGAAAGAATAGTTGCATGTGTTTTTTCCGCATTCGAGCAGATCTGAGTGTTTGACAGCAAATCGGATCCTCACTGCATAGCTCAAGCAATTGAAAGTGTGGATACTTTGGGATTCCAACCGCCATTGATTTCATATGATTTAATGATTCAACGCTTGTTTTAATTACTGAGGACTTTAGACTACAACACCCGCCGCTAAATGGCAGAACGGAAGGCTGGGAGAGATGTATGATCATGATATGGTGAGACTCAATAGGTCCGGTGCCGTGCTTCGGCATCATGTTACTTGTGCCTGCCATGGTTGTCCTTATAACGACTGCAGACCTGCCTTAGAGCCTTAGTCTTTGCCCATCTCACCCACCCCTTAGTCTTTGCCTTGAAAGCCCAATCATGTGCAGCTCGACAGCAGCTTGCTTCGCTCCCAATCAGGAGCCGCCGCGCCTCCGTCCGCTCCGCGTTCCCCGCGCGGACGCGTGCGTCGAGAGCAGGATGATGCGGCGGCGGAGCTTGGATTTGGAGGCGGCCGAAGCATGGGACCAGGCGATTTCCAAGCGTGGACTGGGAGAGACCTGGCGGATTGGATCGGTGGGGTGCGAGCATGGAATTGGCATGAAGCTGGGTGGACCGAGGATGGGTTCGACCGGTCTTTGGGAGTGGAGTGGAGTTTCGTTTGGGCACCACCGTTGTTCAGGATTTCCATGGTTGACAAGTCTCCAGTTGATTTGAAGTGCAGGAACGTTCATCAAGCTTTCATCAAGGGAGAAAGGTCTTCGGCCTTCCGTTGGAAAAAGCAGGTTGGGCTTCCGTCTTTTCTGCCGGACTTCCGAATCTTCCGAACAGAGATCGATCGATTCGGGTGGCTTTCCGGCTGTTTCTGGCTCCGGTTTTGTTTTCGGATTTTTCGGATGGTCAACAGAAGACGAGATGCGTGACGAAGCCGTGCAAATTTCATACCTGGACCATCCTGTCTGGGTGTCTAATAGACTAATAGACTGCCCTACACTATTTCGGGATCTCCAGCCAGGACACCCAGACAGGATGGTCCGGTCTAGGTATGATATTTTTGGATGTTTTCACTTGCGGTCACCATTATGCAGATCGGTGCAGCCATTTCTGGGGTCAGTCGATTTGGATCCATTTGCCACCCTAGTCGTACCTTATGAGAAGGTCCACTGGATCCTTTTGGGGGGGAAGTCAATTTGGATGGCTTTCCAAGAGACCGACTGTCAGAACTGGATGTGCAAAGCGACATGATGTGGTCAATCACTGTCAGTGCGCGAAAACCAGTGGGAGATTCCACGAGAACAGGGCATGAAGTGGCGCGAAAGCCAGTGGTCCCCACACTTCATGACCAGTGGTCCATCATAGACTATATCACTATCATTGAGCTTTTATTCCATTTGAACATCTAAGCTCCAGAACCTCTTGAAAAGCTGCACTGATTTTGCAGATGGCAGGCATTTGTTCCGCGTAAGTATAGTCAGATTATGTCAGATTCATTTGCATACTAAAACCAAATAGTTTATTGTTATGATATTTTGTTTATTGGCTGGGGCCCATTGACCTTACTTTGGTTTGCGAGCTTTTTTGATAGGCATACTTTGACAGCCATTAATGGTGTATGTGTCCTTCGCTGACAGTGTTATAATTATACAAACCGTGGAGATCACGACTTGATACTTTCAACATCTTTCAACCGCTCTATAATCAACATCGGTCGGCACAACGCCTGTGCTGCAAGAACATGGCCTCAGTCTCAGACACCGGCCGTCCGCATGGAACACTGTCGTATAGAGACGAGTCGATTGCCCGATTGCCCTTGAATTGACCATCTCCCAAACGCTCCTAATGGGACTGCCATATTTACCTAATTACATTGGGGTGGTGCCAGAGGGGCCAACTGATCAGCAACTCTTCCAGTCCCATGGGTCGTTGTGTCTGGGTCTCCGTTTCTGGGATCGAGCTTCTTCGCTGCGTGAAGCGAGACTAAGGACAAGCTGCCCTTGAGAGGGGACTCGAAAGGCTCAGGCCGGGTTTCTCCAGTTCCGTCGGGGTTCTCGAAGCCCGGCTGCCAGACTTGTGAGTTCACCCGAATCGCATGGAATGCAGTCGACTAAGTCACGACCAGAAGGATCCCAAAGGCGTAAAAGGAAAATAATGTTGATGTACTCTTTCCGCAGGTTGCACCAGTTCTGTTCATTTTTTGGGGGTGAATGTTCACACCTCACACTCAGATGACTTTGCCAGGTGGTCGTTGTTTTGAGACAGGGACACGTCATGGAACTTCATGTGAGTTCAATGAAGTACGTTGACATACCTTGTCAGTGCAGAAAACCTCGATTTGCCACACTTTGACACGACAAGCTGATGGCCGAACACTCAGCACCTCCGTCATTGCTGCGCCCATCACGCCAAGTGGCGCAGCCGGCTCGCCACCCTCAGCGACCATCTTCCCCACTCAGCTTGCAACGACGGAGACGACCGGAGGCGACGGAACATTCGAGGCCAGTGGCTACTATAGCAGAGCTGACCAGCCCGACAAGCAGGAAAAAAACATCCGGGGCCTTCATTCCGGTCCAGCAAAACATCCCGGATGACATCCATGGTGCAGACGGTGCAGACTGACTTGCCGATGAGCAGCCAGTGGCAAGATCGAAATCCTGCAAATGGCCCTTGGAGCACTACGTACACTCGCTGACATATGCTGACATAACTAATTGAAGTCGACAATGGTTCCTTGGATGACCATTTTCCTCTACAAACCAGCACTATTTCATATTATTTCAGTCAGAGAGTGTATATACAGTGTATGTTGGGGTTGGAATTCCGGGCATAGGCTGCTCCAGGCTTGGGCTGCTCACTTCAGCCGCATTCCACTACTCAGTGTTTTCTAGTGTGACCCAGTTGCATGTCATATACATTGTCATATCATGTTTCCCAGGAACTCGATGTATTGTGCACATTCAACCACCAAACCATGCCATCAGTCGTGTGGACCTCTCAGATTAGAAGCACATCCCAACAACTGAGCCCACTTTTTCACATCAAGTCGATCAACTCCCCGGGGAGGCCTCAGCCGACGCTCATCAACACTGGCCCTGGGACCGTTCGCCTCTCCCGTTCGGGCATCCCTGGGCAGCAATGGGTGTAGGGTAAACCCGTTCGGGCTCCCGTCGTACCTTCGTTTCGAAGGTAGGACTGGGGAGGGTGCCAGGTCCAGTCGACATACCGAACCTGAGAGGTACGACTGGAGCCCGAACGGGATTTCTCTGGGTGCCACACCTTCCGTCGCAGGAAGCCCTCCTGGGTCCCCCTTGGGCGGACCCACGATGCGCGAGCTGGGTCTTCCGTTGATCTTCCGCCGGAACAGCCACTCACTGCTGACCCTGGGACGAGTTCCGCGCGGGGGGGCGGGACAGTCGGTGGGACGAACATGCACTTGGTGCTTAGGGAGAGAGGTTTAAGAAGCTGCGATGATGGCGCCATGAACGAGAAGATGAGAATCCTGGCAGCCCGGGGCCGTATCCAGTGGTGCTAAGTTGCTAAAAAGGAAGAGGTCAACCAAGCAGTGACATCGGAGCACGACCATCCACGAACTCACTGGGACTCCTTTGGTCTCCGCTCTTTCATGCCATGCTCGCCACGGTACGCCGAAGTACCACGGGTCGATCTGGCCGCGCCGGGTCTTTCTCGCGCGTGCGCCTTAAGCGCAGGCTCACCACGTGATCAGGTCAGACACCAAAGTCTCAGGTCGTTCAGACCGTCAACCCTGGTCGTTGCCATGTTGGTCCCGGTCCCCCATCCATTCCCCATCCATCCCTCCAAAACTGGGGTGAACTGGCGAAGTTCAAGCGCTTGACTGACATCTACCTACTAGTTATCTCGGACCGACTAGTTATCTGTCACACCGCGCAGATCCTTCCCAAACATTTTTGGTCGGCCGTTGGAAACTGTTTTGCCACTCCCAAGCAGCTGTGAGGAACATCCAGAAGATGGGTTTGCAGCATCAAAGCAGCAAAGATCTGCCAAAGGAATCCAGCCAAGTCATCGCTGAGGAGTCACGAAGGGGGTGAGCGGACGACCTTCCAGCAAGAACGATGTTATTTCAATTAACTTGTTTTTGGCAATAGAATCATTTTGTGGCCGAACTGCAAGATCAGGGCCGGGTTCAATAACATGTGATAAGGACAGATATATAGTGAGATTACATGAAAATGAGAGCATTCATTTTGTATGACACAAGACTTCTTATTCACGGTTACTACTTGGCTCTGACTGAGGAAGTAGGTGAGGCTCACTCAAAGTCCAAGTATAGGCCTTCACCTGGCACGACACTAGGTGCAAAAGGGTGAGGTTCACACATGTCAAATCATGTCAATTTCAATCACCCAAGCCAAATGATACTCAGATGGTTGATGACCCAAAAGAATAGATGGTCTTGGGGGTGTTGTTTCTGTTGTGGGGCGTTCATATCTCAAGTTGCTGACACGGTCGTTTTGAATTACACAAACTATAGATCCAGCTGAATCATGCAACATCCCCGTCAACATCCTACATGCCCAACGAGACGTTCAGTCGTCATTTGTTGGACGAGTCCCAAAAAAGGGATGCCCCGAAAGCTCCTAAGTGGAGCGAACACATGATCCAAAAGATTCTATGTTCATCATTCCATGCGTTTCTCATCACATACTGGATAGAATTGAATCATTCCATGCGTTTCTCATCACCAATCATGTACATAGAATTCCAATCATGTCACCAATCCGGTTCGTCACCCGTGGATCATCACCGACTTGGCTCTTCTCTTCGACCAGATCCCGGTGGAACGGGACGAGTCCCGAGACCAGGACAAGCTGCAGGAGAGCAGCCAAACCCGTGCGTCCATTTTGGACTTCGAGCATCTCTTTGTCCAGCTTCTCGGTGGACGCACTCCCAAGATCCGCCAGGTTTGTGGATGTCATTGTGGATGTTGTAGAAGCGCAAGTCAGTCACCAGTGCGAAACGTCACCTGTCAGAGGCACTGTCTCAGCAGAACGAGGTGAGAACAAGGTCAGGTCGTCAGTGCGAAGGGCCCTGTGTTATTCTGAATTGCCTTTGGTTGATACTAGTAGGTTGCAGTAAGTTACAGTAGTTTATTTCTTTTAATACCGCTACACGCCATTATGTTCAAACCATCTTACCATGGGGCAACACTATTGGACTGACATCAACTAGCGGAGTCTTTGGGCTCTTGGGAAGACATCCTCCCTCCCAGAGTTGATTGAATCTTTGTCTTATACCTAGACCTTCCAACTATGTCTTTGTTTGCCTTTTGGCTGGTTTTATGGATGAGAATGCAATAGATGCAATAGAATGCATGAATGTTGCGTAGTTTGAAGATCTAGGTTTATGTAATGACTATGCAATTGAATAGATTTGAATCATAATTGATTTCGTAACAGAAATAATGCGTTTGGCCTCAGTCATCAATCAAGTTCTACAGTTGAACAACCAAACCTGTAGAACAAGCATTTCATCGTCATTTGTTTGGCAGCTTTCTAGTGATGACTGGTTGGACGGAGGCATGTATGTATTTGGTCTGCACACTGTGCAGGAAACAACCTCCAGGCTTCCCAAACTTCCGCAATCTGCAAACTTCCCATAACTTCCTTTGCTCCCAGACACTTCCCATTTGGTCATTTTCCTCTGGTCTGAGAGTCGATGTAGTTTTGATAGAACAAGTGCCTCAGATCGAAGATCTCACACACTGAGGTACTTCGTAGAGGTCACACCTCTGAAGCAGAGCAAGGAATTTTCCGGGACACACCGGGAGTGGCTTGCGCAGCCCAAAGCCGATGCAGTGGTGAAGGCTTGGAAAGAGGCGAGGAAGCGGCAGAGGCCAAGGAGGTGGAGAGTTGAACACCATCTTGGGCCTTCCCATGTTTTCCCATGATTTTCCAATGTTTTTCCATGTCCTCGTGGATGATTTTTGGAGGAACTCAGTCTTCCCATGTGTTACCTCATCATCTCCACGACCTCAATGCATCTGGAAACAGACAGATGTAGTCCCAGCTTGAGAAGCGGTGGATCAGTTGTAACATGTTGTAACTTGAGAAGCTGAGGATCAGTTGCATCAAACCAGAGATAGTTCTGCATCAATCCATCATTCGACTTTCCATTACAACCAGCGCTAGAGGACGTCGCCCATGGCACCCGACTCGGCGACGACCTGGTGACCGGTCCCAAAAATCGCTCGGCGACCTGGTACGATCGAACGACGCCTCTGTGGACGACTGGAGGGTACCACCCAGTCATTCGATTCATCTCGGATGTTCCTCAAAACAGTGTGATTTCACATCTGAAAGTGCACATCAAGTCCGGTGAAGATCGATGTTCATTCGAGGTTCTAGGGAAATGTGAATTCCCCAAAAGCTTCATCCCATGTCAGAGGCTTTTTGCGACTGACCCGACGGTTGCAGGTCTTGGTGGAGGGCCTTCTGGCACGAAAGGAGCTGATCTTGCAGCACTGGCCAGAGCTGTAGCTGGGATTTCAGATTAAGTTACGGACCATCACAAATGGATTACAAAGAATATATATATAGTTAATAGACAATCAATCGGCGGCATGGAGATCATTTGAGTGCGTAGCGAGACTGAGATCAGCCACCCTGGTGAAGCAGTAAGTTTTGGGCTCTATAGCCTAGTTGAATATCATGAGCGTACTGTGGCTCAACCACATTGTTGTCATGACCTGCTTGTCCAGCACATCAGTTTGGTGGGTAGTCATCGAGAGATTGATCGTCGCCTTTCTTTTTTTCGGGAGGGAACTGGACAAGTAGCGGATCTTGTCGAGAGTGTTTCTGCAATTGTTTGCCCTTTAGAAGCCTGCTAGGGTTCGATTATATAGTATATAGTAGAGACATGCAGAGACGTCCCTCACCTTCTCTAAGTCCTCCGTGCAGTTGCAACTTGCAACTAAACTGCGCGTTCTCCAGCGTGGTTCTTTGCGCCCCGATCTTGAAAACTGGAGGTGCTCCGAGTGGGGTCAAACGGTTTTTGTTGAGCCAAACAAGTCCATTGATGTGGGCAAAAGATGGTGGCCAAGTTCACCCAAACACCGAGGGATTCGGGCAGTTGTCCGCAAACTTCTGGGATCGCTCAAGAGGTTCTCGTGCAGAGTACTCCAGTTTTCTCCCGTCTAGTACCAGTTGGTGTGCTTTGCACTGGTACGTGCAAAACCTTGGTCGCCTTGGCCTTGGTCCAGATCAGACTCTGGAAAGGCAGCTGAACAAAGAGTCCTTGTACAGCAAGCTCAACAAGGAGCTGTTGGTGCAGGAGAGGATTCTGTGCAGATGGGAGTTAGGGGCTGCGAATGAAGTGAACCTTCATTCCGCACTTTTGAATGCGTTGTCTTTGTGTTAACCACTTAGCATAACTCTGATGGTTTTGCCAAATAACAAAAAAGCAACTACAAAAAACATAAGAACAGAACAGCAAATCCAAAAAAAAAGCAAATGAAAAAGCAACAGCGGAAAAAAAGAAAACACACGAAAAAAAAAAGGCGAAAAAACCGCAAAACAAACAAACCAGCAAATGAAAAAGCCAAACTCAAAAAAGATAACAAACGAAACAAAAAAAAACAATCAAAACAAAACAAAGGAACATTGCGCTTTTAGGATTTGTTTTTTTGCGTCTTGCTTGTTCATTGGCTTTGATTTGCTTTTTGGATTTGCTTTTGCTTTTTCATTTTTTTTAAAAGTATTTCCAGTCGATTCTCTTACGGTCTCGCCTGGGTCCGGCAAACACCACGTTGGACATGCTTTTGGACATGTGTTCGAATTGCTGGTCCAGTGATTCCAACACCGCCTTGACCACTTGACCAGCTGAAGAGGGCACTCGGCACTCAAGCCATTTCCGGTGAGCCGGGTTGTTAGGTCCTTGTGAATCTGCTAGCCGAAGGCAGCAGGTCGGACCAGCTGGACCAGGTCCGACCAGCTGGTCTCACCACTCCACCGTTGCCACTGGTGACGGATCTTTGGTCGGACAGTCATCTCCACTCCAGGATGAACTGGCGGGGCCGAAGCGGCGGGTCTTGTTGACCTTGGCTCCGGAGCAGGTGTGTCACAGGCGACTTGAGGACCACAGGAATGCGAAGCTGCGCTGGAAGTGAATGTATTATGTAGTATCCTGGAGTTCAATACATGACCAATTCTACCACACTCTCAGAGTGTGTTCCATGATGTTCCATGTTCTTGTGCTTCAACTGTCATCCGTGGTATTCATCCAGTGCCAGGTATTACTTGTTGGATCTGTGCAAAAGCGTCGGTGTGTGTGCGTGTGTTTTTTTTGTGGAAGGGCTTCCGTTAGCGGCCAAAGGATCAAATAGAATATAGGATCAAAGGGTCAAAGGGGGTCAAGGATCCCATTCGCCCTTTCGTGGCCTGGCCACATGCAACAAACTCGTGGCCAGATCATAACTTCTTCACTCAAAACCTACACAACCACCCTAGACCCACCCGAACCTTGGGTGGTCGAAGCTCTCCGATCGACCAGACTCTGTCGACGCGTTGGTGAAAATCCCCCGTTAAGGCGAAACGAAAGGACGAGAAAGGACCCAAGACGAAGGGTGGACCGAAGCAACTACCGTTTGCACTTCCGCCTTGTCTGGAGACCTTGAAGTCGACACGACCCTGGCAGTTGCTGGTCGGACCAGGACCCGGACCCGAAGAGGGATCGAACGACACTAGTCCGACGGTTCGTGGTGTTTCTCAAACGGTTTTTGGGGTTCGAGGTACTTCAGGTTCCACGGAGCAGATCGATCTTGGAGAAAAAGCACATAGTCCAAGACTTAGGTCGTTTCTCTCTAATTCGGGTGTTCACATGCGTTGTCTTTGTTTAATAAGATATCCTTACTTTATCCCTTTATATTAAGCCTTCCCTTTCCTCCTCGGTGTTCCTCCACATTTGGAGGTTGCTCTGGGCCTTGGGCGATAGCATCCCTGCGGAGCTGGGCCTCAAAGACTGCGCAGCCAGGTGCGGCGCCCAGCGCGCGCGCCGGCCGCGCCGGCCCTGGAGTTCAGCGGTTGAACACAAACAGATTGGCTCACTGATCTTCTGTTTGATCTCCGGAGATACTGTATGAACGTTTTAATAAGTCCATTTGTTCGGACATCTTCTCCGGAGATACTGTATGAACGTTTGATTGATTCCATTTGTTCGGACATCTTCTCCGGAGATACTGTATGAACGTTGTAATAAGTCCATTTGTTCGGACATCTTCTCCGGAG